ATGTTGCGGTTGGGGCAGTTTTGGATCAAAGAGTGAACAAAATGTTTCATCCGGTGTACTATGCGAGCAAGACTATCAATGAAGCTCAAAGGAACTACACGGTGACTGAGAAGGAATTGTTAGCTATTGTGTTCGCCATGGAAAACTTTCGGCCATATCTTATGGGAGCCAAAGTCATAGTGCACACCGATCATGCAGCTCTTAGATATTTGATGACAAAGAAAGACTCCAAAGCTAGACTGATGCGATGGGTTTTATTACTTCAAGAGTTTGATTTGGAGATAGTGGACCGGAAAGGTAGTGAAAACCAAGTGGTGGATCATTTGTCCCGCTTGGAGGAGGAAGGAAGGCCGTGTGATGGCCTAGAGATCAATGATGCATTTCCAGATGAGCAGCTACTTTCTATGTCAATGAGTGATATGCCATGGTTTGCGGACATTGCTAATTTCCTTGTGACTGGCATCATCCCGTGTGAGCTCTCTTCTAACCAAAGGAAGAAGCTCAAACGGGATATCTGGACTTCTATTGGGACGAGCCATACTTGTTCAAGATTTGCACCAACGGAGTGATCCGAAGGTGTGTACCCGAGGAGGAGCAATTTAGCATCCTAGAGGCTTGTCATTCCTCCCCTTATGGTGGCCATCATGGAGGGGCGAGGACGGGTTCGAAAGTTCTGAGTTGTGGTTTTTATTTGCCAACCTTGTTCAGAGATGCAAGTGATCTAGTAAAAAGGTGTGATCAATGTCAACGAGCGGGCGGGATTTCCAAGAAAGATGAGATGCCTCTAAACACCATTCTCGAAGTTGATATCTTTGATGTATGGGGTATCAATTTTATGGGCCCTTTTGTAAGCTCGTGTGGAAACACTTACATTCTTGTAGCGGTTGATTATGTCTCAAAATGGGTTGAGGCCGTGGCCTTGCCCAACAATGAAGCTAGGAGTGTGGTGGCATTTCTAAAGAAGAGCATTTTCACAAGGTTTGGCACGCCTCGGGCAATTATTAGTGATGGAGGATCGCATTTTTGTAATAGAGCTTTTGATGCCTTG